TCTGAAGGCTCTTGTGTGCTTACTGCAAGAAAACCCTTTCCAGAGTCAGGATTGCCTCGTGCCTGACAGGCTGTGACCTGAAGTGGCTGGTGGCACTCCCTGAAATGCAGGCTGGGTGCTGGGCTGTGCCTCTGGCAGAGGATCCCCATCCTCGGGAGCAGCTCCTGCCTGCCAGGCTGTGGGAGCAGCCCTGGGGTTGGAATGTGCCTGGCTGGGTTCCTACCAGCGATTGTCCTCGGTTTCCATTCCGTGTTACAAGGAAATCCAGGGGTAAGAATAAATTATTGACAGGGCATTTTCTCTGCCTCTGCTCTGGTATGTCTGAGGGAGCTCCCCCAGCAGCGACACCTTCAGCACAGCTTCACAAGATGATTTTCGCACCAACTCTGATGCCTGAATGCAGCTTTTAAGCCCCATTTCTGGAGCACAGCTGCCAGCCACTCCTTCACTGGAATCTTTGGTATTTAATGTGGAACTCTGGGGCCTCACCTGTGGTTTTGTCCCTCCCAGCAGGTGAGGAAGAGCAGTTTGACATGGACATCTAAGACACCTGCCTGGAGAGTGCTGACCCAGTGAAGCACCAGGACTTGTCTGGAGGATTCCCACCAGCCAGGCTTACAGCAGCCATGCCTTGTGTGCCTTCCTGCTCTGGGAGAGGCAGATTCCCTCAGGAGAGCAGAGCGTGTCCTGTTCCAGGGGCCGGGCCTCGGGGTGCTGCAGGAGACACTCTCCCCCCTTGGCTTGGGTTCCAGTTTTATGCTTTTGTTAATCATTTTAATACTGTAACAGTAATGCAATATAAGGGAGAAATAAAAATCGTGTGGAGTCTCCTGATGTGGAGATGAATGCAATAAATGTGGCTTCTGTCCCTTATTCCAGCAAGAAACTGCTGACCCAAGGCATTAAAATGGTGTGCCCTGTGCTGCTGGGCCTGGCCCAAGCATCCCTGGGCCTGGGGGAAGGTTTGGTGTGCCAGCTCTGCCCCCAGAACAGTGACAGAAACTGTCCCGAGTGCTTCCAGAAGGCTCTGTCACAGGCTGTGTTCTCTTGCCTGCCTGGCAAGGGCCAGGCTCGGGCTGCAGGTGGGAATATTTGGGATCAGTTCAGCTGGAGGCTCTTGGAGGGCTCCTGGCTGAGCTGCCCTGCCAGGGAGAGGAAGGAGCCTCCAACTTTGCCACTGCCATTCTTTCCTTCTGCCATGTGCTAGCCTGGCTTTGTGATCCCTGGTGAAATGTCCCTGCTGCTTTACCCCTTGCTTCTCTTTTTTATCCCTTGGTGGGCAGGGAGAAGAGCTTTGGGGAAGAGGGTTAGAAACAAAGTCTGTCTGGCTTGGAGACGGGAATTTTTGTCAGAGGAAGTTAATTTTGCTGTGGAAAGGTCCAGTTTGGGTGGCCAGAGCAAATATATTCATTTTTAGCCTCCATGAGGTTTGATAAATGCAGTCTGGACAGTCTGTAAGCACATTGCTGTGTTACTGCTGGGAGGTGGAGGCACCTCACAGGAGGAGAATCCATACGGGCACAGCCTGAACTTCAGACTTCCCAAACCACAGGGAGTGTCTGTGCAGATCTGCTTTGGCAGATAGCATTTAAATATCTGCTAATGATGCTCAGTGGTGACATTATGAGATGCAAACCCCCAGTAATGAGTAACAGAACAAAGCAATTGCTGCAGATAAACCTGCATTTCTCTAAGATAAGATTTAAGGGTTTCTCTGAAACCTTAATGGGAACAAATCCGAATTTATTGCCCTCAGGTGTGACTTTATCAGTCTCAGCTGCACCAGTTAGGTTCTGAGGATGGTTTAGAGAAGAGCTGCCGCATCTGGGACTGACTTTTCTCTGCTAAATTGGTGGGTTTGGTTTAAAATGGCACTGCTGGACTGTGGTGCAGCTGCAGTTTTTGGTTTAGGAAAGCTTGCCATGTTGATGGTAATTTCCCCAAAGTTCCCCTGCTGTGGGGAAGACTGAAATAGCCATGACAGGCTGGGCAGGCTCTGCAGGGGTGAGTCCCTGCGCTTCTGCTGGGGCTTCTCCTGCCGTCCCAGCCAAAAGGAGGAATTGCCTCTCTGCCGTGGCTTTACGGGAAGGGTTGCATTGGTGGAGCCCTTGGTGAACAGCTGTCTTGGACAGGGACCTCAGCAGGACTGGGTGTCACCCTCCCTGACTTGTGTGCTGGGCAGTGTCCCTCTGTGTCACCCAAAACCACGCGGTTTTGGTGGCACACATGGTGCTGGTGGCCCTGGGATCCCCCCAAGTGCCATCCCAAGCTGAGGGCTGCCCATCCAGGCAGTTTTGGGATCCCCCGAGTGCCATCCCAAGCTGAGGGCTGCACATCCAGGCAGTTTTGGGATCCCCCGAGTGTCATCCCAAGCTGAGGGCTGCACATCCAGGCGGTTTTGGGGAGAAATGACTTTTTCTCCTGATTTCAGCCTAGACCGGCCATGGCTGTTGGAGCAGGAGCCTTGTGGTGTTGGGCTTTGGTGCCGGTACAGAAGCGGCTGCCGGGTTTTTGGGGGTGTCAGGTATTGCAGGTAATGCTCTTAAATGCCATTCCTGCCACCTGTAGGAGAGGTAACACGTGCTGGAGGTGTTAAGTGCTTTGTCTATGTCCCAGCAGCTTTGCATCGGTATCTGCCGCTTATGCAGATCTGGGAGCATCAAAGCGCCAGGTGCCTCCGACGCGGTAATTCAGAGGGAGGGAGGAAAGCCTGTGAAACACCTGGCCAGGTGTGACCAGGGGTCCTGCTGGGTTCTCGGTGCAGGGCCCCGGGGCCATGGGCGCATCAGGACCGCTGTGGGGGCAGAGAGAGCCGTGACCGCAGCAGCGATGGGGTGGGGTGATGTGCACATCTGCTCTGGTGCAATTTGTCCTAAGCCCTTAAACCTTTCCACCCGTGGTGTGGGACCAAGTGGTCTCAGCATCCCATTGCTCTGGTCCTTCACCCTTCACCCCTCCCTTCCCCCTCACACCCCCAGCATCCTTCAGCCAGACCGTTTTGGATCCATCTCCCTCATGCACTGACGTTTACAGCTCTCCAAGCTTGCCCGAGCCCCGCAAGGAGCAGCTCAGCATTCCGGGGCACATCCCTGCTTCCCCAGGCTCTGCTCCTCACCCGACGCTTGCACTCCCAGGCCGAGGAGCTGCTTTTTGCACGGGCTGAGCCCAGTTGTGCACAGCGGGAGGGAGGGAGGCAGTCGTGGGTGGCTGAGGCACAGCTGGGATGCTCCGGGGAGGTCCAGGGACAAGTTGGCTTTGTCGTTGCATTTCCCATCCCGGCCCCTTTTTGTCTCAAGCAGGCAGAGCAGCTCACCCGGTGTCCCTGTGTCCTGCCCCACATCTCTGTGTCCTACTCCGTGTCCCTGTGTCCCAGTCACGGGACAAACGCCACCTGCCCGACCCAGCTTGTGCTTTAATGCACCATTTGTACGGACCCCTCGGTCTGTTTGTTCTCACTTCCGATGTGTCCAAAGTAATCTGTGCCTGCTGCCCTCCTGGCCAAGCCAGCCCTTCCCAGAGCAGGAAACTGCCAGCTCCCCCAGCCCTGGGATGCTGAAGGGTCGTGGGCAGGACCGGGGCTGTCCCCCTACTTTATTGTCCTCACGTCTGGGCTCCCTGTGTCCCCCAGCCGATGTAGATTGGGGCAGGAGCAGGGCCAGAGCTCTCCCTGCTCAGTTCAGGTCCCCCCTCAGATCCCGAGCCTGGCAGAGCCCGGCTGGCCAGCAGATCCTTCCTAAACCCGACTTTATTGTCATTGTCCACACTTTGATGTTTTCCTTACAGCCCTGGAATCCCAGCCTTTATTTTTCCACCCTGCTCTTCCCAGAGAACGGCTGCTGCCTCCCCCTGCCCCGCCACAACTTTTGAACCCGCTGCTGGATTCCAGCAGGCGAGACGGAGGGCAGAGATGGCAGAGATACACAGAGATACAGAGCACCCGGCGGGGCACGGCGGGCAGGGGGTCCCGGGGGGCGTTGGGGCAGTGAGTCCTCCTGCTTTGGAACCGTCTGTGAGCAGGAGTAGCAAAACTGCGGAGAAAGAGGCAAAACACCGTAATTTTACATCAGCCAGAGCACAGACGGGCAGGTTCCTGCTTTGCCTCCTGCCGGGGGTCAGCCCCGCGCCCTCGGCCCACCCTTGACAGCTCCTGCAAATGACCCTCTAATGACGGGATGGTCGCAGTGTGAAAGCTGCTGGAATATGGAAGCGGCCCCGCGGAGGGCCTGCTGCGGCGGGGGAGCAGCAGACACGCTTTGTTTATCCGCCGCCCGGGATGTGGATTGGGGATAATCAGCCTGGCCGGGGATGTGGAGTCGGGGCCGCTGCTCCCAGGAGGGGCGGCTGGGGGTGGCCGCTGTCCCAGGGCCACCCGCCGCCAGCCCCGGGCCCGGGGTCCCGCCCGTCCCCTCTGCTGCCTGGGGGCCGCCCGTGGGTCCCCACGCGTGTGTCGTGTCCCCGTGCACGGAGGCAGCGTGAGCCTGGGGCTCCCACGGCTGCGGCGGGGCAGCCCGGGCTGATCCTGGTTGCCCGGGACGAGCCGCCCCCCCGGTCACCCCGGGGCGCTCGGGACCCCGGGCATCGCCCCCAGCCCCAGCGCTCCTCCGGATCGGTGACCCAAAGGAGCTCCCTGCACCACGCGGCTTGGAATTCCCTGCTCTTACTGGGCACGGCCCTTCCCTTATCTCCGAGGGGTAAATAAAGGCGGAAAATCCCTTTAGCCTCCCCTTCCACGCCTGCAGGTGCTTCCCTTGCTCTTGAGTAACCCCTCTTCAGGATGGGAACAGCTTCGTCCTTATCTCACATGAGCTTTGGAGCTTTCCAGCATCTTTTGCACTCTTGGAGGGACCCCTGGTAACTTCAGGAGCAGCCAGAGCCCACCTGCTCTCAGAGCAGGCTTCACCAGAGCAGGGAGCAGCTCTGGGTGCTACAGATGAGACACAGAGAAGGGGACACTCACACCCTGGCAAGCCATCAACAGCAAAAGTCAGCAGAACTCAATGGGCATTTTTAATAGATATAATTTATTGAAGAATTGTACAGATGTGACCTTTCCACAACCACCCCATCCAGCGAGGGGGAAAAGCCACGAGCAGAGCTGTGGTTACTTGTTTGTAACAGCTGCCCATCTGGATCTGCCAGCTGGGGCTCTGGACATTGTTAATACATTCACTTGTCTGAGTTGCAATAGAAATCGGAGACTTTTAATAGAAATATAATAAAAATCTTAGGAGAAATGCCTAAACCCCAGGGGTGTGTATGCTCAGCATGGCCGGACACTGGAGGTGCAGAGTCCTGAGAACCTGTGGCTCCTGATGATTCCCACGGCTGAGAATTCCCATTGCCTGAGCCCTGTCGTGGCAGGGAGCAGTGCTGCCGTGCCCCGGTCCTGCACCTCAGCCCCTGCCTGTCCCACACAGCAGCCTCCAGCTCCTTGGTAAACACAGCACGGGGCACCCACCGCCCCAGACGTGCCCCTGGTGCCACCACAGGGAGGTGGCTGGTGGCCTTTTCCTCGTGGACCTGGATCCAGCCGGGCACGGCGGCCGTGCAGCGCGGCAGAGCTGCCGGGCACCCGCTCCTCCGGCCCAGCCGGGGCTGTGCCAGCCCGCGGGCACGGGCCGTCAGGGACGCCCTGCCCCGTGCAGCGCTCCTGGGTCCCCGGGGCACTCCTGGGCACAGACGTGCACCTTCCTGGCGGGGTACGGGGTGGCCTCAGTTGCAGCCGCACTCCTCGATGATCATGTCCTCGTGGTGACGGACGACGATCTCGCCCTTCTCGTAGTAGAGCATGGACAGGGGGCTCATCTTGACCGGGGAGCAGGCGGGACACGGCACCTCGTTGGGCTTGTAGAGCTGCAGCAAACTCTGTGGGAGACACGGGAAGGGCAGAACACCCCCCTGCTGGGTGTGGGGGTGCGGGGGATGAGGGGCAGCACCCCTCTTACCTGTATGTAGGCGTGGTTGGTGGGCTTGAAGGTCTCGTCCACGGGCGAGGGGCACAGCCCTTCGCAGCGGTAGGCGTTGTACTTCTTGGGGTACACGATCCAGCTGCCCCAGCCCGTCTGCTCGAAATCCACCACCATGTCCACCCGCCGGCACAGCGCCCTGCCCGGCTCCCGCGGGGCGGCCGCGGCGGCGCCGCTGGCTTTGATCCGCTGCTTCTCCACCCTGTTCCTGCGCTGCCGCCGCGGCCCCGCGCCCTGCGAGCCGCTGTCGCGCATGATGTACTTGGAGGTCTCCGCCGTCCTGATGAGGCTGTGCTCCCCTGGAGACTTGTCCTTGGAGAAGACGAGCAGCAGGACGCTGTCTGCCACGTCCTGGGGCAGGGCTGGGTCGCCGTGGCCGGTGTCTGTCGTGGCCGGGGCGGCCGAGCCGCTCACCTCCCACTGCCCCGTTCCCGCGGGGTTCCGGTGCCCAGCGACCGCGGCTTGGTGGAGCCAGGCCCGCAGCAGGTTGGTGACCTCAAAGACTTTCCAGGAAGCCTGGGTGGCAGAGGGGCTGCCAGCCACGGTGCCCAGGAGGAGCCGGTGGGCGCAGGTCGCGTCTCCCTGGCACCTGCGCCGCTGGCTGTGGTAGATGTCCAGGGAGATGTTGTGGGCGCGGGAGAGGCCGGGCAGGCGGACACGGAGCTGAGCCAGACTCACCTCCTGGCTGCTGGAGAGGGAGGACATGTCGAAGGAGAGCGCCCAGCGGGAGCCGTTCTGCAGGGAGCCTGAAAGCCAAGGGCACGGTGAGGGGAGTGGTGCCAGGGGTGCTAGAGCTGGGCGGGACGGTGCCCCCGCCTGCTGCCGGCAACCAGCCCCGCCGTGGGAGCCTGGGGGTCGGGAGAAAGCAGCTGGATCCACCTGAGAGCCAGCCAGAGGCTCAGGCAGGGCTGGTCCTGCGAGCAGGGATGCCCGGGACAGTGGGGATCCCTGGACAGGGATGCATGGGGACAGGGCAGGTCCCGGGCATGGCGCTGGTCCCAGCACAGGGAGGCTCGGGGACAGTGGCAGCCCCGGGAAGAGGGACGGTGCCGATCCCGGGGATAGGGTTGCCCGGGAACGGTGCCGGTCCTGGGAATAGCACGGGTCCCAGGACAGGGATGCTCGGGGACGGTGCCGGTCCCAGGACAGGGATGCCCGCGGCCCCACTCACCGTGTGGGGAGAGGCTGAGAGCGGCGGCGGCGGCGGCGCGGAGCGGGGCGGGAGGGGCGCGGAGCAGCTGCAGCATCAGCGGGGGGCAGCGCGGCGGGGCGCGGGCCGGTGCCCAGGTGAGCGCCCGGCTGGAGGCTCCGGCGGGTGCCCAGGTGAGCGCCCCGGTGGACGCTGCGGTCGGTGCCCAGGTGAGAGCCCGGGTCGGGGCGCAGCCCAGGCAGAACAGGGCTAAGGCGCGGAGCGCCAGCGCGGGCACGGAGCGGAGCGGGACCCGCATGTCTGCCCGGGCCACCCGCAGCCGCCCTATTTGTACAGCGGCCCCGAGCGCCGCCCCGGGCGGCCCCGGCACCCCCCTCCCCGACAGCCCCCTCCCCTCTTCTCCCCATCCCTCTTCCCATCGCTCCGTCCCTATCTCTGTCCTCCCTCCCCTCCACCCCCATCTACCTCCCAGCCATCCTTGCCCGTTCCCTTGCCCTCGTCCCCCGCCCTACTCTCTCTCCCCTTCTCCCCATCCTTCCCCCGCTGCCTCCAGCCTTATCCATCATTCCATCCACCCATCCATCCACCGCTGCCTCATCCCTGCATTCCTCCCGTTCTTCTCTTTCTGCCCGTCCGTCTCTCCCTCCGTCCCTCCTGGGCTCGTCCCCGCCACCCCTCTCTCCGTCCCTCTGTCCCCGTGGCTGGGGGCTGGGGGCGGCCACCCCCGCGCCGTGCGAGTCCCCAGCGCCCGCAGAGCCCGGGACCGCTGGGGACGCGTGGGCCGGGCACGTCGCCAGCCCAGTCAGTCCTGCCGCGCTCCTTGGCGAGGGGAGCAGGACCGGGGGCACGCGTGGACGCCAATCTCGGTGCCAGCGGGGGTGCCCCCGCCCGGAGAGGCGGCACTCGTCCTTCCCGGGGGACACGCGCTCAGGCCCCCCGGGTCCCCGGGGCCGCTCCCGGTTCATCCCCGTCGCCCGCCCCGCGCCTAGCCCGCGGCGGGTGACGTCACGGCCGCGCGTGGTGACGTCACGCCTCCCCGCGCCGCGCTCCCGGCGGCCGCAGGCAGGGGGCGCGCTCGGCCGCGGCGGGGCCCGGCGCCCCCGCGCGCGCCGAGTCTCGCGAGAGCCGCGCGCTTCCCGCGGCAGCGCGCGGAGATGGCGGCGGCGGGCGAGGGCGCCGAGCCGCCCCCGGAGCCGCCCCCGGCCCCGCCGGAGCCCCCGGCCCCGCCGGAGCCGCCCGCCGCCGCCGCCGAATCCGGGTAGGTCCCTCCCTGCGCGGCCCACAACCCCCGGGCCGCACGGGCGCCGCGGGGCCCGGCCCCGCTGCCATGGGAACGCCGATGGGGTCCCGGGCCGGGGCTCCCTCGGGCCGATGCCGGCCCGGCCGTGCCCCGCCGCGCGGGCCCGGCCCTGACCCCTGTGCCCTGCAGGGACGCCGCCGCGGCGGATGGCAGCGCGGCGCTGGAGACCGAGCCGGCCCACGGCAAGGAGCCGCTGGTAGGTGCCGCGGGCCGCTCGGGCTGGGCCGGCCCGGGGCGGCCTCAGCGCCAGCCGCGCTTCCGTACGGGAGATGGAAGTTAAACCGCAGCCGGGTGGCTCGTCCTCAGCACGAGCGTACAAAGCAGCTCCGGCCCGCTCGCAGCGCGGCCGTGCCTTGGGGGAAGGATTTATTTCCTCTGAAGTGCCCTGGTGGCACATTCCTGCCTGCCCCGGGCACTGTTGCATCCCAGGCTCGGCAGTGCGTTGGGGGAAGGATTTATTCCCTCTGAAGTGCCCTGGTGGCAGATTCCTGCCTGCCCCAGGCACTGTTGCATCCCTGGCTCTGCTGCGGTTCCAGGACGCTGCCGGGGACGGTGCCGAAGCCATGGATGCCCAGGGGGGCTCGGGGGACGAGGAGAACACGCGGCAGCTGGGCGAGATCGAGCTGCAGTGCGGCATCTGCACCAAGTGGTTCACAGCTGACACCTTCGGCATCGACACCACGTAGGTGATGGCTGGCAGGGCCAGCACGGGCCTTTGGGAGCCAAAGTAGAGTGTTTGGAGTCCGAGTGCCCAAGGACCTGCCCATGGCCTTGAATACTTGGGAACTGGTGTGTTGTGTGAATAAATCTTTGTCCGTAGTAAAGGCACCCCCATGAAATAGCACTGAGCCTGTTAGATGTTTGTGGTTTTAGGAAGGGAGGGAATACTTTGCTTTTAACCTGGAATAATTAGTTTCTTAACCCACTGTAGCAAAGAATAGTTAATTTTCTTTCACTCCAGGAAGAACATTGAGGGGCTGGAGTGTGTCCAGGGCAGGGAATGGAGCTGGGAAGGGGCTGGAGCCCCAGGAGGGGCTGAGGGAGCTGAGCCTGGAGAAAAGGAGGCTCAGGGGGCCCTTCTGGCTCTGCACAAGTCCCTGACAGGAGGGGACAGCCAGGGGTCGGGCTCTGCTCCCAGGGACAGGGACAGCACAAGGAGAGGTGTCCAGGGAAGGGCTGGAGGTGGCACTCAGCACTCTGGGATGGGGACTGGTGGGGATTGGGCACAGACTGGATTCCATGGTCTCCAGAGTGCCTTTCCAACCTCACAGATTCTGGGATTCTTTAACCTGATAATTACTGTACCCAGCCCTAACAAAGCTGCTTTTTCCTAGGTCGTGTCTGCCCTTCATGACCAACTACAGCTTCCACTGCAACGTGTGCCACCACAGCGGGAACACCTACTTCCTGAGGAAACAAGCGAGTGAGTTTGGGAGCAGCTCCTTGGGAGATGTTTTGTGCGAGCTCATCCTGGAGCGTTGGCTTTGTCTGAAGTCAGTGGGTGGCTCTGCTGAGTCTTCTGGAAAATGAGCCAAAACCCCATATTTACAGTCACGTGTGGCTTCTTCTAAAAATGTTTTGCTACTGATTTATGGTGTAGCTGGTTCAGTGAGGGCTGAGTCAGGAGAGAATTTGGGAGGTTTTGCAGTTGGGCTGATCGCTGTGTACACGGCTGTGTGATTTTCCCACCAAGTGTAACTGTAGCCCTGGGGTGTTTTGTTTCTCAGATCTGAAGGAAATGTGCCTTAGTGCTCTGGCCAACCTCACGTGGCAGTCGAGGACACAGGACGAGCACCCCAAAACGATGTTCTCCAAGGATAAGGTCTGGCTCTTTGGGAACCGCCGTGGGCTCACGTCACTGCTGGTGTCAGCAAGAGGAGGAGCTCACACAAGTGTTTTCTGTTCCTACAGGATATTATCCCCTTTATTGATAAATACTGGGAGTGTATGACAACACGGCAGAGGCCTGGGAAAATGACATGGCCCAATAATATTGTCAAAACCATGGTAAGGATTGAGGGTAAATCCCGGGAAGAATTCCCACAAGTTTCTGATATCTCTGTGTGCTGAGGGCTGGGCTTGGAGCTACAGGGTGAAGATGCTGATGCTGATGCTTCTTAGGCAACTGATGTACCTAACACGTATTAATAGGAACTACTGGCATTTAAACACTTGTTAATGAATTTGTTATGATTTTACCCTGTGTAACTAAAACTCCTCTGTTTTAGTGTAAAGAAAGAGATGTGTTCCTGGTGAAAGAGCATCCAGACCCAGGCAGTAAAGACCCAGAGGAAGATTACCCCAAATTTGGGCTTCTAGACCAGGTATGTGATGGGAGACAGGAGGAAGGTGGGGAGTGACAGGGCGTGGGGGGTCCCTCTGGTACCTTTCTGCTTGTGAAGGGGCAGATCTCTGCTGTGAGCCCGTGCTGTGCCTGCAGTGGGTGGGAGCCTCAGCACGAGGAGTGCCCTGCTCAGGCTCGGGGTGTTCCCTTTGACCAAGTCTGTACAGCAGAGCACTTCCATCTCCTGCAGGATCTTGCCAATATTGGTCCAGCCTATGACAACCAGAAACAGAACAACGCCGTGTCCACGAGTGGAAGCTTAAATGGCAAGTTCTTTGCTCAGGAGGGGTTTGGGGATTTGGGACTAAGCTGCATTTCCCAGTCATCTGGGCATCTGTGCAGTTAAACTGTCCTGTGAACTGAGCTTATGCTTATGCTCAGAACAGTCTCACTGTGCCTTTTTATAGAAAGATTAACTTTGTGTCTTGGGGAGGTCCAGCCCTTTCTTTACTGTGACCAGATAAATCAAGATGCTTGCTGAAGGCTGAGCTTGTCACTCTGTTCCTGGAATGGTTTTAAATTATCTCCTTGAGTTATTCAGATTTCCGGTTTCCCATCTTGCTGAGGGTACTCAGGGCATCCTTGCTGCAGTAAATGAGCTGTTAATGGGGTTTGTGTATTAATATCTTTATTAAGATCATCCAAGTAGTACAGGCAGGAGGTATTTAGGTCTTTTTAAGGTAGAATAGCTATCTCAGGTGTGTTGTTTCCATGTCATGCACTGGTTGTTTTTACTTGGTTTCTGGGAGGCTGACAAACGTGTGGTGCCACTTCTGTTCTTGCAGGTGGAGCATCTGTGGGAGGTGAATATTTACCTTTCAGCTTCTAAAACTTAAGTATTGCTGTTTGCAAAGCTTTTCTTGCTCGATTCTCTTAGATGCAAAAGTCAATCAAAACTGGAAGCGTGCTCTGATGTGATTGGACTTCAGTACAAACCAGCAATTCCAGTCTTTAATCTTAGTACTTAGAAGCTTTTAATTGCCATATTCTGACCTACTTGACTGATTTAAAGGTTTTATTTATTTATTTTACACTTACATTTATTTTTTTCTGTATCAGCTGACCTGATGTTGTAGTTTTAATGCATAAACAATTGGTCTGAAATTTACAGTGCAATGGTTTGTTGGGCAAGTAATTGGTTTTTTGGGCTAGTAATTGTTGACAAACTGGAGAGCCTGAATGTTTGTCTGCACTGAAATCTGGGAGTGCAGCTGGATCAGGTCATGTTTGTGCAGAATATGGCATTCCCTGGATGGTTTGGACCCCTTACACTGTAAGGGAGTGCTGGTAATGGAAGAGCTGACTGGATTTTTAGTTACCACATGAATGTGTTTCGTGAAGGTGTTTATCTACAGTACATGAAATTCCCATAGTTTTCCTTATAAATCAGCAGTGTTATCTTTGGAAACAGCAGGATGGTAAAATGCATGTATGATTTAATTTATTGAAGCATGCTGATAGTAGTTGGATTAAGTTTGACATGCAGCTTTTCCTACACTCAGTTTTATTACTGAGTGCTGAGTTCAGGCTGATTTGCTGCTTAATCATAGAACTGATTTTAGTAGTACTGAAGAGAAACACCTCTTGCTTTTCATTTTTCCTCAACTCAGGTGTATTTTGTTTTGTAGATGGAAATTGAACATTGAGTGCTTTTTGCTGGTTGGTGTCAGTGTTCCTCCAGCACAGGGTCACTGGTTTGGTGGCTG